GCAGGGACAAAAACATTTCTAATCACCATTCTAGTGGATGATAAACTGTGAACAGCTCTCATATTTCTTATGTAAATCTTGATCATCTGTGTTGTTGGTCATAATTGTTTATTTTGAAAGCTGGAACTAAACCCAACCACATGAATGTGTCTATGTTAGAAGGCAGCTGATCGTTCTATTTAAACACAGATGTATTTCATAGATGGTTTGAAAAGTTTCAGATAAAAAAATGAAATGTAAAAATGTCCATCCACGGCTGGAGACATTTCTAGAGCGAATTCTACACAAAGACATTCAGAAAGTTTAGTCTTCAGACGGAAAAGTCCAGAAAAATAGGAAGCAGTTGCAGGATTAAAGATGATCTTTTAGCCATTCTAGCAACATGAAAGCCGATAATTTGAACAAAATTAGAATTATTTGACACATTTCAAGTTTCTTCAGATCTAAAAGAATGCTGACAGAATCCATTTACATAACATGTACAATTATGAACGGGCCCACAGTGAATACTGACCATGTCAGGCTCCCACAAAGATTCGCACATGCCGTACATCTGCTCCGAGCAGGTCCCGCTCACTACAAAGTCCTCTGTTACCATAGGGCAGCCAATCAGATCCAGGGAGCAGATGAATGGTTCAAAGGTTTTGGGGTCAAGTCCTGCAATCACTGGCTCAATGTAGTACGGTCCAAACCTGATGCAAAACGCAAGACAAAAACAAAGAGATGATCTACAACCACGTGGTTCATCTAGAGACCAGAAAATTTACAAGTTTACGAGTTCTCCAGCCTGATGTTGCTTAGTTAATTTCAGTTTACTATAAAAGTTGAAATTAAACTGCTCATTTTCATTTATTAAAATAAACAGTGATCAGTTTTTAATATAAAAACCTGAGCAACACAGAGAGATTTTTTTCTTTCTTCCTCATCCCATCCTTTGTAATCACTATCACTGAATTTATACTGGATTCAGAGCGTTATACTGGAGGTTTCTGCCCTGTAATAATTGAGCCTTTCTACTCAACTTACCAACTGCTCACTCTGTAAGAGGGATTGCTGCAGAATAACAGCTCAGTTCATTCAGCAGGGATACCATAGACAATTATGCTTTTACCAGTTGGTATCATAACCTAAATTTGATAATACTGCAGCATAATCAGGATCAAACTGGGATGTTTAAAAATTCTGGATCAGAATTAGACACTTTTGTCTTATAAAGTGCTTTGAGAATAAACTTGTTTTGAATGTGAATGGACAAGTAGAATACTTAAAGGATTGACAGATGGACATATACATAGTTTAATAGATAAATCTTTAGTTCAGTGAAATAAGGAACAGAACATTTTTCCCCATAATTATCCTGTAAAAATTCTAAATCTGAATTTAACCAAACCCTGTGAAAGAACTAAAAGGGTTACCTGTGACACCCTGGATTACATCACATTTAACCAAATTGTCTGTAATAAATAAAGCACATATCTAGGGCATGGAAATAGACTTTTACACAGCAAGTAGCCCTCAGCCGTCTGAAGTTACTCACCTCCTTTCATACAGTAGGTTGGACACCATGCTCATGAAGGTTTTGGGCTTGATCTGACGACCTTCCTTCAGCTCATACAGGTTCAGTCTGAATTTAAGTCTCTGTGCCCTAAACACAATGTACAGAAAACCAGGTCCCATCACTCAATAGTGTCTAAGTCTATAGTTTTTTTGTTTTTTTTTCTTTCTTTCTGTGGAAGAGACTTTCACTACAATTGTGTTTCACTAAATGTTGTGGGGAAAATGGGGAAGAATACTAAGGCAAAGCACACTCACACTGTCTGAACATCAGTAGCCAGTCCAGCCAGCCCGATGTAGAGTCTGTCTCCCATGGGGAAGACCTTCTGGAAGTCTGTGGTGACCATCTGGGCCTGAATGCCATACCTCCGATCTGCAGCTATGGCCACACAGTTCTTCCCTCGCATGGCCATGACAGCCCCGCCGTTATAGTTCATTATAGACTGGATCAAAAGAGGGAGTCAGTTAGTGCAGATTTAATAAACAAACATATTCTCTCATCAAATTCTAACTCATTCTGACTTATGTTTTATTATCATTGTAAGAAAATATTAGGATACCGTCATATCCCTGAATAAATTATTGATTTTAGAAAAAAAAAAAAAAACAAGTTCTCAGTTGTACAGTTAAAAAGGCTTGAAGTCCTTCAAACGTCATCCTAAGATCTGTGATCTATTCCCCCCCATCATGTTGCTACACAAAACTAAACATTGGGGCAGATTTTCTAAACTGGTTAAAAGTGCAACTGATTATAACTAAAACCTTGATGTAATGTTTGTCATGAGCTAAACGTTTTATTCGACTTACAGACTGCATTTAAAAGCCTTGCCTTATATTTTTAAACCACACATGTAATCCTTGTTGTCAGTTACAAGACAATTTTTTTATTTATTTATTTAATGAAGGGCTGAAAATAAATCAAGGAAACCAAAATGCATATGTAGAGTTTATATGAAGAAAACGTTAGCACAGCTAACGTTAATCGGTTTAGCTTACAGTTTATATACAATTTCTAGTGCTGAACAGTGTTTTGTAATATATCATAAAGCATACGGGTACATTAAACTGTGCTTTAAAGGGAGGCATCCAAGTAATAAGTGTATTTTAATCTTTCAGCCATAAAACTGAAACCCAAAAAGTATGCTAATGCTATTAGCTTAGCTAAGCAGTTGTAGTAGTTATTTCACATTATTTTGAGCTTTAAGCCCGTGCGTAGCGCAAAACGTTACTCTCTTACCATTTTGAAGCCGTTGTTTTTTCTTTGTTAGTTGTTAGAAACTTGTAAACTCTTTCTTTGTTAGTCGAAAGTGATTGTTAACTGCCAAGAATGGGAATGACTACACGATTTAGAAACACAGAGAACGCACGAACGGCGCTCTCAACGTCACCGCGCTGGGTTAACGTGATTGGATGTTCTCGTGTTCCGTTATGAGCGTCTGATATCATTGGATGATAGGAGCCAATAAAGTATCAGCTGCTGCCGGTATAGTTTGGTAGAGGTGTGTTAAAGCGAATATGAGATTATGTTAATTGATGCAGATTTTTACTGATAATAGTAATAATAATAATAATAACACACTGTAAAATACTAAGAAAATATTCTTTTTTGAAAATGTTTTAAAGCAACAGCAGTGACAGAAGCACATTTATCTGCATAGGAACCACCCTAAGCATGATGCTTCCACCACCCTGCTTGACACGTGGGTTTAGTGTTCTTAGGTTTAAAATAATAATTTTTGCTTAAATATATTTGTTATCACCAAAACAATCATTAATACATCCCACCTCAGTCTTTCTCCAATTAGGTTGAATTATTTTTGTCTTTGTCAGCTGCAAATTTTAGTCTACCTCCAAAGAATAAGTTGTAGCGCAAGTACTTGTCAGTGACAATGCCAGTTTTTTCCCACTTGGCATCCAGAAAGATGAAAATGATGTACTGTACCAGGATAAATAAAACTTGTATACATTCAGGAATATAGGCAAGCTCAATGATTCTTGATGGAGTTCACTTCATTAAGAATCGCAAGACACCTGTGTTTTGTTTCATGGTTTGTCTTCCTGGGCCCCAATAGGATCGGCAATGGTTTGATACTATTGATCACTTGATTTTATTAGAGCATCTGGAAAACTGCCTCAGCCTTTCTGGTACAGCACTGGACTGGTTTAAATCCTACCTGAAGGATATGGAGTAGTGTCAGTAGGGAACTTTAAATCAAAGACCAGAAAAATCATATTTAACATGTTCCTCAAGGCTCTATTTTGGGGCCCCTCCCATTAAACACCTAGATTCTCCCCTTAGCTCAGATTAAAGCAAACAACAAGATCAGTGACCATAACTATGCAGACAACACACAGCTTTACATAACAATGACACCAGCTGATTACGAACCCCTCAAAGCTTTGGCTAGATACTTAGAACAGATCACTGTGGATGAACCATAATTTTCTTCAACTGAAAGAAAACAAAGCCGATGTCATTATTTTCAGACCAAAGCAGCAGTTTAAGTTAGTTCACAGCTTCAGCTACTAGTTAGAAACCACTGATGACTGAAATCTTTGTGTCATGATGGACTGAGACCTGAGCCTTCAGAGGCACATACAGTCAGGCACTAAGTCAGCCTTTTATTACCTGAAAAACATTTCCAGGACTAAAGGACTTATGTCCAAGCAGGATCTAGGAAAAACTCATTCATGCATTTATCTTTAGTAGAATTGATTACTGCAACAGTGTGTTCAAAAACTCTGCTGCCTGTGTTCTCACTAGAACTAAGTATGTAAAGCACATCAACCATGTTCTGAAGTCCTTCCACTGGCTCCCTGTAACTCAGAGAATAGACTTTAAAATCATTTTAGTTTATAAATTACTGAATGGATGAACACCTACATAACATATTTGTTGTCAGTGCATCAACCCCTCAGGTCTTCTAGTTCCAGCCTACTCTGTACACCCAGAACTAGAACCAAACGTGGAAAATCAGCATTTAGATCCTATGCTCCACTTAGCTGGAACAAACTCCCAGAAAACTGTAAAATTTAAAAACCCATTGTCTAGAACTGCCTTTGGCTTTTGAAGTTTACTGAGGTATTATTAGTTTAGGGTTGTGGTCCCACTGTTTTGTTTTACTTTTTTTTTATCTTTGCTTTTATTTTTCTTCTATATCATTATCTAATTCATGTTAAACACTTTGAATTGTCCATGTACTGAATTGTGCTCTACAAATAAACTTGCCTCACCTTATATGGCCATGCCCAGTTTCAATGTTTAAACCCAAAGTGTGGAACAGAAAGATCAGTACTGGTTCTTTAAGTCTAGATGATTTGACGTTGGGCCAGTATGGACTGGTTAGATTTTGCTCAATATAACTGGCCAGGTCTATTCTACTGCAATATTTAAACTAATCGAAATAAATGTATATATTTTTATTAAAATAAACACACGTGACTTATTAACCTACAAGTAGTCAAATATTTGCTTTTATCATTTGTACAAAGACACATCCTTGGTTATATATTCTAACCCAGATGTGAAAGGTTCGTTTGAATAGAACCACTTAATTTGGATAAGAAATATTGTGTTTTGGCCTTTCTGTAAAGAATTAGGTTTATAAGAGTGTTATCAGGTACATAGGAGCACAATCAAATGTTCCTGTTATGCTGCTAGTGACACCCAAGAAACAAAGAAAAAAAATAAAACTTAAACTACCAGCAAAGTAGTTTGAAAATGCAGCACACCTACTTACAGTAAGACAAAAACAATCATGATACAAAAAAAAAGAAATAAAACAGATCTGTTAAGTTGGTTTAAAATAGTTTTACAATATACTGTACAAAGGTCCTATTCATCCATGTTGCTTTTGATGGAGGCAGGAAAAAAAATCAGCTACAATAACTGGCTTTTCCTCCTGAAAGGGATTTTCAGAATAAAAGCCAGAGGACAGAGCTTTGACTGTACCCACATTATCTTTTTGCCTCAACAAGTTTATCAAAAAGACAGGTGTCGGGATATAAAGCAGAGTCTTAAAACATGTTTTCCGTGATTTTACAAACTAACATGCAACAATCATCTCTTCATGAAGTTGTCCAAGGAGGCTGGTGTCCTCTGAATGGAGTGAATATTCCTCTTCACCCTGTCTTCCACAGACGAACTGGCAGCACTTTCCAGCTTCATGTTACTGTAAAACAAAAGGTACATTTTCAAACACTTATTGGATTTAACGTAGTGAGGTACCAACAAAAGGAGCCTCTTGGGCCTGAACTTACTGAATGAAGCCAGCATGTGGGTCGTGCTTGGTGTTTTGCTCCCTCTGTTTATCTTGCTCATCTTGCCTCCTGTATCGTTTCACGTTATTTTCCCTATCTTCCTCCCTCTGCTTGGCCTGCTCCATCATCTCACGCCTCTTTCGTTCCAGTTCCTCTGCAGAAAGCTTCCTACATAAGGCAACACAGAATAAACCTCCATGTGGGTGCTGTTAAAGACTGCACTCATCACAACAGATTAATATTCACATGATATTATCTGCTTGCCATTGTGACTCATTGATCTGAGCTGATTTATTGCAGCAGAGCTTACTTTGACACAGGGTTCCTCTGCCTTTGGTAGTGCTCCCTCTGTGGGATGGGGTCTCTCACCTCCGCCTTCTTGTCAGCTCTGTGAGAGGAGGAAGAATAAGAGCGACTGTCCTTGTGGCTTCTGTGAGGAGATCGTGAGCGGCTTCTCTCTCGGCGGCCTGAGTGATTTGAAGCAGGCTGATGTCTGCCGCTTGGAAACTAGCAAAAAAGCAAAAAACGAAAGATGGCTATTTTAATACATTTCTCTTTTTCGAACCTACTGTGGGTGCAAAGCATCTGATTTACATGCAGTCCATGGGGGGTGACTTTAAGCAGCATGAAGAGTTTCTGCGTTGCATCCAATCATTAGAACATTGTGGTGTCCCAATGCTGGAGTTGAGAAATCTGAACTTTTGCAATGTGGGGTGGAGCATCAACCAATCAGAAAAGATAATCCAGTGCGATCGATCGCAGACAGCTCTGCAGGTTGTAGTGTCTGTCTCCCAAAAGAACTCCTGGATTAGCTTTTCTGATTGGTTGATGATCGATTGATAAATCGATAGATGGATATAGATAGATTATTATCCTGGTGGCATCCTATTGCAGTAGCTCAAAAACTATAAAATGATCATTACATCCTTGTTGAAAAGTTTCATGACTAAGAAGAACTTTTTTACTGTTTCAGAGACCTGTTAGCTAGGTTTAGCTTTAATAATTCCCATACCCATGTAACAGATTACAAAGTGGCAGATGGTTAGTTATCAGTTTTGTGTGAAAAGCGCAGTCAAAAATCCCCCAATTCTTCAATTACACTCATTCATCTTGACAGGCCTTTGTACATTGGTCGGTCATTCTATGCATGCAACATCACCACTCCCCTACTGATCCTACTCTTGATATAACAAGTATGATCACTTTATGGCTGGTGATCTGTATCTACATCTAATATTCCTATATTATTATACTTTTTTTGTTTTCTAAGATGTGGATAAGATCAAACCCCTAATAAACCCTGCCCGTTGTCTTATTCCCATTTTATAAATCTAAAGAGGCTGAATGATTTTTACAAAAAAAAAATAAAAACAAAAAAAAGTTTCTGACCTGGAGCCCATATCCAGGAAAATGTTGTGAACGAGATTTGCCGTCTTTAGAATCATCCTTCGAGTGTGACCTGAAACAAATCAAAGGTATTTTTATATTGATGGTTGCTATATTACTAATCAGTTAACGGTCATAGCTACATACTCTCCATCAAATTCATTATGTTTTTCAATAACAATACATCTGCAGAATGTAAAAAAAAAAAGTATATAAGTAATTGTTTTTAAATTTTAACGGGTCCATAGTATATAAATATTTACTTCTGGTTACTAGTGTTGCACCGATTCTGATACCAGTATCGTGCAGGGCGCCGATCCAGCACTAAAATGGTAATATCAGTATCAGCGAGTACCAGCTAATAGGACACTGATACCATTTTGAGAGCCAAAAGTTTATTCAACTATTGTCACCCATTCCAGGTAGGCAATAAAAAGTTCTACTGGATTCACTTTTTATTAGGTTTTTTCCTGCTTTACAAAGGTAGGCAGCAGCTTGAAAAAAAAAAAAGCCATGATGGCAATTATTTTACATCCAAGTAGTATTGTGTCCATATATTCACACACGTTGATTTCAAACAGATGGTGTCGATATCGGCCAATACTGCACAGCCAGGTATCGGGTATCAGTATCGGGGCCAAAAAATGGCATCGGCGCAACACTACTGGTTACTATGCCAACACAAAGGATTCTGCACTAGTAGGAACAGAAGAACTGAGTCAGGTGAGGTGGAGCTCAGGCACTGCCAGATTCTAGAAGCTCTGTGGCCAAGCTGAGAAACAGCTCGTTGTCAGTGTTCTATTTCTCAGATTCAAACCAAAGAAAAAGCAAAAAAGTTAAACATCACTAAAGCTGTTGAGGACTGATGCTGACCTAAAGACGCAAAGAGGCTCAGAAGCCGTGCAGAGCTTGCTGCTTTCCTTCTGGAAAGGTCAGCCAAATATCTGCTGACACTAACCATTAGCATCAGCGGACCAGGCAATTGGCTGGCACACAGTACAGAAGCAGAGCAGGTTAGCTTATATATTCTCAAGGTGATCACTTCAATAAATCAGCAGACTGTTTGGCTCATTCACCAAAACACGTTTTAAATGTTTCCATCTATTTTCTTCAAATACATACCTGTGTTTGTTATCTTGTTCTTCTTCTTCTGAGCTGGAACTTAAACTTCTTCTTTTATGCTTCTTGTCCTTTGTCCTTTCCTTGTCTCTCTTCTCCTTCTTGTCCTTCTTCCTCTTCTTTTTCTTGTCTTTTTTATCAAGATTTTGGCGCAACTAGAAAATGATTGAAAAAATCTTAGTGATGAATTAGTTTCTGATCATTTGAGATATATTTAATATATTTGAGTTGAAATTACCATCTCCTTTATTTTCTTCATCTTAACTGGATTAGTCAAAACTTCTCTCTTCTTTTCTTCTTCTCGCTTCCTATGAAAACAACATTTAGTTTAGTTTCCCATCGCTCTAGTAAATTCTCAGAATATACAGGAGAAAGATGGACATACTGACCTAATTTGAAACAGGGGGTCTTCCCTGATCTTGGCTGCAAGATCAAGGCCAGAGGCTGGGGTGGCAGGATTAAATATTGACCCAGGGAGGAGGCCGGTCTCACTTGATGGACCACTCTCTGGCTCCTCATACTGATCTGTAATCTGCTTGTCAATGGGGCGCCCCAGCAGGTACTCATCTCTGGATACCTGACCTGCAGGGCCTTGGTACATCCAGTCGAGGCGGTCATCTTTTTTTCTGTTGGATATCAATAATAAAAACAAATTGAATCTTTTTTTTATTTTATTTTTTTTTAAACCCACCAAAATGATCCCATTGATATGACTGGAGTTTACTTGATTGCTCCGGTTTCCTCAGCATATCTAGTGATTTCTTCTCTGGCTCGTTCTTCCTTCAGCTCCTTTTGGAGCTCCTCAATCTTCTTACGTTCTGCCTCATATTTCTGCTCAGCTTTCCAAACCCGCTCTATGTTCTTCATAGTCTGGGGGTGCCAGCTCTTCTTTAAATTCTGGAAATAGAATGTTGTAAAGATTTACTTGCCGTACCTATAATCTACACTGCCAACCCAAAATGATTTGTACCCAACATTGCATCCCACAGTTTCCTTACATCCTGTCTGGTTACATAGCAACATACATGTGACACATTTCCTTTAGAATCGTATGTGATAGACAAAAAAAAAAATAATAATTTTTGCATAATTGTGCAATGGATCAAAAAGTATATTTCTTAAACAACGTGTTAAAAAGTGTGCAGTTGTATTCAATCAATTTATAACTAAAGCTCCAAGACGTTTGGGTTGAGTGACTATGAGTCTTCAACATTTCATCAGTGTTTTGTTTTTTTCGACATCAGTTAAAAGCCATGTCACTGATTTTAACCGGGTTTAGCTTTGATTAAAAAAATTACGTACGAATATGATTGAAGTAAACCAACTGGAAGTAAGTCAGATTCAATATTTAGGTCATTAAGCTAGCTTTCATTACAATAACCCTCCTACTAACACTGCCTTTGAGCAGTGAATGATAAGATAACAACATTAAAATCAGAAATGAAATTTAAGTATGATGTAAATGATCTTGTTTTGTACTTAAGTGCTGTAAACATTCTAATGGGGTTTCTCAGACATGAGTTTGTTACGTAGGACATGTTTTTAACAAGTTTATATCAAACTTACCAGATCTCCGCCTCCCATCTTGGATTCTAGTTTGTATTTTCAATCAAACAAAAAATAAAGACGGAATCAATATCCGTTGATTAAGAAAATGTAAAACAATATAAAACAAAAGACTAGCTAGAAAATGGTGTCGTTCATGTCTATAATGTCGTCAAGCAGCACACTTCCTGTTTTGTATGGAGGGTTCCGGTTATGATCGTACCGTGAAAAATTGTCCCCGAAATCAAAAAGCTTCTAAGATTAGTTCCGCCCTTTTTGATTGTGGATTCTGAAAACACATTGTTATTTTTTCTTATCTAACCCACAATTTTACCTGGTTACCTTAATATTACTATATCCTAATTAGGCATGTTATTAGGGTACCAAGCTTGAGACAAAAATACATACATTATATTTTAAACAACAAAAATAATAATAGCAATATTCAGGTTGGGTTTTGAGAAAAACATTTGGAAATATGTACATAAAAAGACATTTTAGCACAATACATTGATATATATATATATATATATATATATATATATATATATATATATATATATATATATATTTCAAATGCCAAAATATTGTTGTAATTAGATGAGTCAAGTAAATACATTTTTATTTGAGGGGAAATGGCAGTGCTTAAACCCCTTATCATTAATATTAGGTTTCTAATGGAGCACTTTGCTCTCAACCAGAAGACTTACTAGTGGTTCATAGAATTTCTAAAAGTAGAATAGGATGTAGGAGTCTTAAAAGTAGAGTGTCTACTTTTAAGACTAGGCTTAAAACTTTCCTTTTGACAAAGATAGTTAGAGCAGCTCAGGCTATCTTCATAGTTATGCTGCTATGGTATTAGACTGCCGGGGGACATAGGAATCGCTTTTCATCATTATGTTTTCTTCTATGTTTATTCTTCCAGTCTGCAGTATTTGTTCATTTAACCAGAAACTTTACATTCTTTCTGCTTTTCCACATCATTGTAGCTTCTTCTGGTATTGTAATGTTTGGCTTTGGTACCAGCATGGAGAGAAATATAATCTGGGCTGCTGCCACCAATAACCTCAACTATAGATTATATAGTTGGGCCTGTTTTTCTGTACTTAGTCCTGCTTCTCTTCTAGACATAGTTATGGGCTTAGTTTTTATTTTGACATGAAAATCCAGAGCTTGTCTGCTTAACCTTTTTGTTTCCTAGACAAATCCACATGTGGTGCTAGTTTACCTTTACCTTTTCTAACACAGAACTATTTATGGATCAGTGCTACTATGTTACTGCGATGGACTGGCGACCATCCAGGGTGTACCCCGCCTCTTGCCCGTAGACAGCTGGAGATAGGCACCAGGAGGACCCCTCGCGACCCCACTTGGGATTAAGCTTGTCAGAAGGTGGATGGATGGATGCTACTATGTTCATTACGTATGTCTCCTTCTCTCTACTTGATCTCCCAGTCAGCCTCTGCAGAATGCCACTCATTCATTCTGCTGAAGGTTTATTCCAGTTAAAATGTTTTTGCTCTCCACTGTCGCTCCATACATCCTCAGTGTGAGGAATTGCTGTAGAATCAACAACAAAATACAATTACTACAAACAAGGCAATTGTGAAGCGAAAAATGTCCTTTAATTGCAGGCCTGAAAACTGCTATTATAAAAGAAGGGTGTCGAGTATCCTGACCTTTTGGGATGAATGTTTTCCATCTTATAGGTTTTGAAAATCTATTTAGTATATTTTCAGCAATTAAAACAAGTTTCTTCTCAAACCCTTCACCCCCTACCTGTGATGACCCAGCAAACCACTGTATCTGACACTTTGCATTGAACTTAAACAGAACTGAGCAATGACAGTCTGATAGTTAAGGCCGAATTAAGTTTGGATAAAATCTGCCAAAAAAATCTGGCAGCACTTTCATGTTGTATGTTCAAGTTGTCTGTGATTTTACTAGGCCTTCAACTTGGTTTTTCCCAGTCACTTTCACTTTGTTATAATACCACTTACAGTCTTGTGTGGAATATAAGTAGGGAGTGAATGTTATGACTAGACACATTGTACATGAGGCATCTTATTATGGTACCAGGATGGAATCATGAAAACATTTTGGCATTAATGTCTGTAGACAGTCATGTCATCTGGAGGAAAGAAAGGGAGGCTGTTGAAAGGGGTAACTTAGATAGATAATACAGTATTATTTTGTCAATGAAGGGACATTAAAGAAGTTTAATGTTCTGATATTTACTCTAAAATTTTTGGTGTTCTCTTAAAGACACGGATCAAAATACTCTAATCTAAATTATAGCCCTTATCTACAGGTACCCATTTGGTTCAGATTATTCTTAATACAAAAATATCTGAAACTTTATTAAAGTAAAACATTCATATTTAATATATACATAATAGAATTAAAACAGCATATTTTCTATGGGTGCCAAATGAGAAAAGTTCAGGTGTGGGTCCAGGGGTGGGTTGTGGGGGCCTTTGGTCCCAGCGGAAATCTGACATGCTCTGCTCCATTCACTGATAGTTTGATTCTTTACACATGTTTTACTACATATTTGCTTTCAATTAATTTTATGACTCAATGATTTGTTTTTATACTTTAGGAAAGTTATTTCCCAAAATAAAATATTTAGCATGCATATTGACCAAATAGATTTTTAAAAAAATTCCAACACAGCATATTGCACCGAAACCTTTCATCTGCTATTACGAGTGACACACAAACACAGCATCATTTCTTTAAATCTTTTTTATTAATAAGTAACAACAATTGATTAACTACAAATTATTACACAATATTTAAGTTATTCTACTATAGTCTCCAAAAACTGTTACATTAACTACAGCAACCACTAGAAAATGTTCTCTACAAAATGAAATAAGTCTATCTGTAAAAACATAAACCGATAACATTAATACAAGTCAATAAACAATTGACTAATATTTAAGCCCTTTTTGTTCTAACATATCCTCTATACATAAATACAACAATCTTGAGTCTCTGATCATTTAAAGCTCCCTTAAAGTAAAACTCTGCCTGAAGTTGGTGATGCTTTTCACACATCCTATAAAGCTGCTTGCTTAGTTTGCTACACAACTACTGATCATAAGGTATCATTAATAAAAATCTATCCAAAATGAGTAACTTACTGTTTTTTTTTTTACAATTCAGAAAAAGAAAATCAGTTGTTCTAGTTTTTCCTTTTATTTTAAATCACATATTTGTTAACTACTGACCTGTAGGGGGCAGCAGAACTGTAAAAATAACCAAAAACCTGTTTTTATATCTAAAGACAAAGGTGATAATAAATGTCTGTGATGCTCAGGCAAACACAAAGTGTTACACAATGCCTGACTCAAAGAGGTCTGATTTCAGGACCATCCTTTTCCATCTCAATTTAACCTCTAACATGCTTTATGAGTGGTGCTATGTAATAACCAGTCTTTCCAATGTGTTGTTTTTTTTATGTGGACCTACAAGCCATTAAGTAGATTTTGGTATAATATGTGAATGTCTAATCTGTCAATGCACACACTGTTAAGCGGAGCAGAGAGGCTTTAAACCAGTAAATCAGAGACAAAAAAAGTCCAATAAAAGTTGAAACAAAGTGCAGAGATGGATGATAGCTCTCAACATGCATTACCTCTTTCACATTACACACAAGCATTTGATCCATGGTTACAAAGAAAAATTGTCAAGTGCAACTTAAAATCCTGTGTCTCTTCATGCTGGATGCGTCTTTCAGTACCTGCAGCCCGGAGTGTCGACAGGACGGATCTGAGCAGTTGGTGTGTTTTTGTGTTCTGAATCCAGATGGGCCTGCTGTCCCTGAGCGTGTCACAGCAGAAACCTGGCTTCATCTCACCAGACGGCACTTTTCTGTCCATGTCATGGTGTTTTTGGCCTTGTTTCCCCCCTTTTAACAGGAGCCTCAGCTGCACCCATCACTTGTTTCTCTGTTACTTTTTGTGGTGATGTGGGCCTTCTCATACTGCTGATTTTTTTTATTTTGTCCTTTGTTTTATTTCATGTAGAACACTTGTTCACAGTCTGTTCACACCTGTTCACTCCTCTCCTGGTGTTTGTATATTTTCTTACCACCCATTTGGAGGTGAAAAAGTAGTATAGTTTCTTTCAGCACATAGAATTTCCACACAGTTTCATGAACCATGCTTTGCGAAGCTATTTGGGGTCTGCAGCTATTTTCCGAATTTTTCATATCAATATCCCAAAGTTTAAATTTAAAGTTTTTTAAGAGGGATCTTAGGTGTTGGATCAACACAAATTACTGCATTAGAATTGTATTCTTACCTTTTTATAATTTGCATTGTAAACTAAAGCTTTCAAAATCAGTTTAATCTAACTACTGTTCTGTGAAGGGCTTGTGGTTTTCTTAGATCATTAGTGAAAAACAGCCTCATGGACAGTGAGGAGCATAGAAGACAGGTCAGAGAAAGGTGGTGGGAAAGTTTAACCTGGTAACAACCCACAAAAGAAATCCCCCAAAACCTGAAACAACTGAAAAAGCATAAATTAAACCAGCTGCGGTTCTTTAACCCCTTGGAGGTTCTAGTCTGCCATATAAAACCATTGTTATGCTGAAAGTAGATTGTGAAAGCAGTATGATGCTGCAAATTTGGAGGCACCATTTGGAGATGACAGTTAACAGGTTTAGTAGGGTTACGTTTTTACGATCTCATGGAGGGCTGTTAAATTCATGACTGCTTATCTGAATTGACAGCAATGGCATGAAGAGTAATAATTAGAGATATAAAGCTGAGGGCGAAAGGGACAGCTCTGGGGAAGTTGCACAGACTAACAGCTCATGTGGGAGGGAAAGAATCAGCTGTCTATTTATGTTAAGAAGCAATATGGTTCAATAGGTAGCTCTGTGCAAACAATTTAAGATCACAGCAAACATGAACCATAGTTATTTGGTCAGATGAGACCAAAGGGGAATATACTTCCCAATATAAAAAAAAAATGGAGCAGAAAACTAAGACTCCACATCATCCCCACAGTGAAACCTGGTGGCAGCAAGATGATGCTGTAGGGATGCTTTTCTTTGACGGGGAAAGGAAAGTTATAGACCTCATGCAAGGAAGATTAGACGTTTTAGTCTCTAGATGTGCAAAGATGGTTAAGATATGCTCCCAAAGAACTACAGCTGTAGCTGAATAACTTCATGTAAGATTAGTTATTAAGAGTGTTCAGAAAACATGTATTATTATCCTTCCACTTTGTAATTATGCACCAAGGTCCAGTTCCATAAGGATATATCAATTGAAAAACAAGGTATATTAAGTTTTGTGATGGTGGGGTGACAAAAGCCCAAGATGTATGAGTATCTTTGCAAGGCAATGAATATTATATTATATATAATAATATTATATCATATTATATTTTTCTCCCTTTTATAAGTTGCATACAAATCTATTTCTCACTTTCGATAACACGTTCAACAAGTTTTATGTAAACATCTTTTTTCAGCTGAACTCATTCCCGTCTGTCTCTGGTCTGCCTGGGGTTCCAGCAGCACCTTCTGCTCTTCTTTGGCTCCTTTCAAAACTACAGAGGAGAGTTTTAGCTGTATAATGCATAAGACCCTGTGCTTCCTGTGTGCTGTAGCATCCCTACTATCACTACCACAGGAGTTGCATACTTTTGTTTCCATCCAGCTTCCAATGGTGAAAGTGTCCGCACCATTCTTCTACTCTCTATTCTATTGTAAAATCTGCACCTGTTACAGATAGGGCTGAACCCTCTTACTACAAAAACATCTCCTGGAAGTGATCAAATTAGCCGGACTGCCCCGTCACGCTGGAAACCGGAGGGTCTGTCTCGCATTTCAGCTTCATCTGAGGCTCTGTGCTGTCAGACGTATTTGATGACGACTGAGGAGGTGTGGGCGCATCAAAGCCCTTATCCATCCTTCCATCACCATTTACCCTCTCCTCCCCGTGTCCCGGTGGTGACTCATGTGTGCGCATGTGTTTGGCCAGGTGGTCGTTACGCATGAAAACTCTGGGGCATAGAGCGCAGCTAAACTTCTTGGCACCAGTGTGTGTCTGCAGGTGGCGCTGCAATTCATCGGAGCGCGTGAATCTCTTGCCGCAGAACAGCCAGTTGCAGACAAATGGCCGGTCTCCACTATGCCAGCGCAGGTGAGCCTTCAGGTGGGAGGTCTTGGCGTAGGCTTTGCCACATCCAGGGATGTGGCAGTTGTGCATGTGCTTGGTCCTGCTGTCCTCAGCACTCTGCCCCATTTGCTCGGCCTGGATGCAGTTAGGGCACCGGCACAAAGCCTGCCCTGCGCCCCGAGAGGATGAACGTCGTTGAGGCTTGGGCCGAGCAGACACAGAAGTCTCTTGCGGTTCCTCCATTGAGAAGGTGTCCTGCTGCAGCATTTCAGGTCCAAGCGGCTCCATCTTGAAGCCGTCCTGAGGGTAGAGGTGGGGCGAGTGTGAGGCGTGTTGTGCTGTGGGCATAGTGCACAGCTGTGGGTCAGAGCCATATGGGCCTAAAGAGGACTGCAGTCCCATGGAGCTGCCTGGACTCCCTGAGGGCAAGCCAACACTTTGGCCAGTCTGCAGATCTATCCAACTGCCGGACTGAACATCGCGGTGGAGGTCCCACCAGGTTGGGATGTTCATTTCTTCAGAGCTGCCACTAGATGGTGCTGTCCTTAACCAGGGTTCGTAGGGGTGGGCCATGATTGTAGGTAGTGCAGGTGCAAGATTCAGGATAAAGCCAGCCACTTAAGGAGTTGATCACTGTCTTTTCGGGCAGCACGCAGAAGAAAACCTGCAGAGAGAAAGAAAAACATCTTCAATCCAGTCTTTCATTCACCTGTTTTAGTCTCTTAACCTCTGCAAACCACACGTCTCTGAACTGTATTTGCAGACCTCTAGTTCAAAAACATTTAAATAATCAACCCTGAAGGCACCTCCCCCGTTACCATGGATACCAGAGTTCTCACGCTGCAGTGGAAACAGACGAGAAGGGGGGAGACAGACGTGTCCAGGCAAAGGCCTGCCACATGCATCTGCTGCCAGGTACTTCCCAATGAAGACCGTCAGAGGCAAGCGCAAAGAAAACAACATCATTGGCTCGGCACAGACACAGGAGCAGGGCGAAAGAATTCTGCAGAGACTGGAGGGTGAGGTGTTCATGGAGGGGTAGTGGGGGGAAAGGGAGTGTTGACAAGAGAACAGTTGGGTAGAGGAAGAAGTTCCAGGGAGGTATGGCTGCAGGCCAAACTCTATTTGTACATCCCTGAGGCTTGTCAGGAGAGAACCTGGCAGACAGAAGAGGCCATTTTTTTAACGTGTGTGTGTGTGTGTGTGTGTGTGTGTGAATCACACATGATTTACAACAACACGCCTTTAGGTATGTTATGGGAGAAGACGGGTAAGACGCCCCGCCGCTGACACCTTGGCGGCGAAGGAAGCATCAACAGCTGCAAACTGACAACATTCGGGAGCCTGAGAATAGGAGCCCAACAATAACAACAGGACAATTACTTTATGTGTATAATTATGGGCGCATGCTCCGAATTCACATCCTGTCCCCAACACGCCTCAGGAATTTTCACTTAACCACACTTCAGCTGCGTCACCATGTGTTTCATGCAGGAGCCGGTGCCTCACTGATTCCACAGGTGGCGCAAAGCTTGTTAAAGTTGGACACGTCTGGGGACGTGCGAAAATAGGAACCAATGAGACTAAAAACCAAACAGGTTCCAGCACAAAACGATCTTGTTGACTTGCAGTACTCCAATCACCAACGTCTACAATTATCTTTACAGCAGGAAACAATGAAATAGACTGGTGTCTCTGTCTGGAGATCACTTTGTGTGATGCATATCTGAAATGCCAGAATGAAAGAGTGATGGCTTATAAAAAGACTCACACAATGTGTCAATAATACTGAGAGTGAAGGATCCCTATCTGAAAATGTAAATTGAGGCCTGAAGAAAGACGAAAAAGATCACAGCTCGGTTAAAGCCACTCAAAGCTGCTTTCAAATCTGAATGGGATTGAAAAAAAAACAATTAGTTTGGAATTTTTCTAATGAAAAGGTGTGCTGTTAAAGGTCAAGTCTGGCTATTTGAAGTGAACCTGGAATCAGAGCTTGGACCGTATAATTTTTTGAAGATGCTCAGATGGCGGCATAGTCTCACCAACACCTCTGCCTTCATCCAATGAATGACTGAGAGCACCTCCTGAAACCCACCCCCCACCCCTACTTACGAGGTGTGAAACCTGTTCAAAATTCTCTGATCATAAAACCTGCCCGACCAAGACCCAGCACAGGCGCCATTTTACAAGTTTGACATTTGAATGAGGCCTGATGAGAGGGGGAGGAACGTCAAAGAGCAAGCCACACTGATACATCTTGCTTAACACATGCTTTTGAAGGTGTTTCAAATATGAAATCATAAAAAACAACATACTTGTCAAGTCTTAAAAAAGGCTCCTACACATTACAACAATTATAACAGGACTTTCAGTTATAAATTGTGTGATTAATGATTTACCAACACAAAATTGATGCATTGATTCTTAAAATCAAATGTTTAGTGCTATTATGACATAGGTCTTCCTCACATACTGCTATTTGAACTCAACAACTACCTGATGGCTCATCGCTAGAGCACTTCAGAAATGAAAACTTTTAACACAGAAACTAGATGTTAATGCTAACCTCAGTGTAAATTTATTTCTTCCTTTTAAGAGTGAATCCTCTTGGGTGTAAGGAGTAAAAAAAGTCTGTCCTACATTCATGTTGCTCTTCGCACTAAAACAGCTGGATTATTTCCTAAACCCCAATACTTTTTCATGCTTTTCGGGGAGACGTTTGAAGGCTGCGGGCAAATTTCTGGCAAAAAAAAAAAACTGTGGCCAAGTTTGTTCTGTTAAATAAGTAGGCTATGCATCATCTCTAGTGATCACTGTTTTGAACTTAACAATGACCTACAAATACTTCATTAAATCTTTTCTAATGAATATCACCTGAACTCATTTAGTAACTTTCACATATAGCTGCTAGGGAGCTAGGTTAGGCTAGAGCTACCTAAAAATTGGCCATAAGGTTCATAGATATTTTATACAGCAGTTTTAAATACATGATTGAACTAAAACGGAAAATAATCCAGCCTTTCCGTAAACTCTATGAGAGTTTAAACAATAGAAAGGATTTAATTATTTCAACCTAAATCAGGTGCACAGCATCAAACCTTTTTACTTAATTGTTTTCAATTTCTTGTTACTCCACACACCAACACTACTAGATGCTTTAAGACATAATAATGGATTTAAGCAGCTGGGATAACATTTTTTTTTATTATGTTGTTATATTAATGTTAAAATCAGTTCAAACTAATATAATATCAGCATTATACCTGTAAAGTAGTTAACAAAATCTAAACCTTACTCATTAAGACTTTGAGTAAGGGAGTTTTTATTTTTATTTTAACTACAATGTGCAATGATTTAGTTTGTACGGCATTTATCCTATTTATTTTTTTTTTTTCATGTCAAGTTATGGGCAGCTTTGTCTATATTTGATTACCTGGTTGAGTTAGAAAAATATCCCAAACTGGTTTGTTTTAACCCTAGAGGTTTTTGTGTCCATTTCCTCTTGAACCTACAGGTCCAGTTTTGTTATCTGTCTTATCATTTCCTAGCTGTTGACCCCTGACTATCTGTTGGAACTCCTTTAGGTCAACCGGTACTCCTCAGGTTGTTTGTTTTAACCTCCTTGATGTACAAGATGGATGGAGTGGAGTAGACGCTTGGCAGCAGCCACTTCAGAGGAGTCTGTAATGACAAACTTAAAACGGTTTTCGGACTAAATCAAACTTTTCAGGACGCGGTGTGGCAGCTGTGCACCATTAAAACTCTCTGGTAACATGTCAAAACAAAGCACCAATTCCTGCTCCAGTGACCAAGAGAGAAATGGTTTAAGGGCTTAAAAAACACAGGTTCAAAACCTCGAAAACATTAACAAGAAAAACCATCTTATTTATCATTATCTATAGTTTTAAACAGCAGAAGCAAGACAGATATTTTTGTGTTATGCTTAATGCTTCAACTAAACGTTTATTTCTATTATCAATCACTGACATAAGTTACGCTTTATTCTGCCGCTCCAGTTTCAAACCAAAATATAACTGTATTCAAACTCTTTTTTTAGTTTAAAATAATGAATAAAGATGGGAATCTAATTCAAGCCAAACCCTTTCCTCCTTGTCTGAATAGATTCAGGTGTATTTTGCATATCAGGTAAATTGGGAAAAGCTGGATAACTGTCTTGACATTAACATGGCAGAGCTGATGGTGATATTAAAATTAGCTTATAAGCGTATAACAAAAATCACATACTTTTGAAAGCAGTGGTGAAATCACTTTTTACCTCTCCAGTCCTAATAACCATTCAAAGTCAGCCTATGTGGGAAATGTGTTTCCAACCAACTCACATAGTGAAATGTTACATTAAACCTTCACTGTATTTCTGTAATATTTTAGTATCATTTGTAGAATTCTATATGTGTTTCCAAATTATTTTAATTGGATACACTAAATAAATATAAATGTTTTGATAAAAAGGAATCAAAATGTGTGTAAATCTATTTAAATGAATAGTACCTCCTTCATTAATGACTGTAAACAATATATTTGTTATTTGTAATAATACAATAATATAAGGGTTGTTCTGCTTTCTTTGATTTTAACTATAGGTATTTTAAAACATCTATCTAAATATCGGGTGTGACAGAACTTTAGGTGTAAGATAAGTTTTTATTTTCTGGTGGAAATTAAGTTGGTGTTCACGAATATAAAGTATTGCAGTGTACACTAGCTATTTTGCTTTTTCACAGTTTTCCACAGAATGGAAAAGACAGTCAGTGAATACTAGATTTAGGCTAGAGGGAATGCAACAAAAGTGGCATTAAAATATCTGCCTTCAGTTACACCAATATCATAGAAATTTCAGCAATAGAACTTTGTTTTGCTTCATTCTTTTCCCCCACCCCCCCTTTTTTTTTTTTTTTTACAGTTTTTATTTAGGCAGCCTTACTTTTTGTGCTTCTGCATTTCGAATAATGTACTATTATTAATGTTTTATTTCAATGCAGATTTTATTTGATAATAACTTAACCAATTAATAGATTTTTTAAATCTATAAATAAAAAACTAAATAAAAAATGTATAAAAAATCTAATTTTTAAATTTTTTTTTAACATAGTTTATTTAAAATGCCATTAAAAGTCCTGAACGCCAACTTAGGTTTAATTATTTTTAGCCATAAAAACAACGGCGGGTTAGAATACAGGTTTTTTTTGTTTGTTTGTTTGTTTGTTTTACTTTGGTTCAAATTTGTAAAATTCAGTTCATGTACTTATAGTGATTCTCAATGATTTTATTTGTTCTATTTAGTTAATGAACCTTTAGAATTTCAATAAAGCTACAATCTGACTTTTCTTTAAAAGCTGAACCGAGTCTGATCTCTGTAAATCGTTTTATCTCGTCACAGATTACTTTCATGTTAAACCAGGGTGTCGCACTTCAAGCAAGAAAAAAAATATATATATTAAAAAGAAAATAGTTACCTGTTTATCCCAGGAGCTGCTGCTGTCTTCCTTTGGGTATAAACCTGGCTGAGGTCAGCTGTGTTCGTCAAGAAGTGAGCCCACAAAGGTAAAATCCTCATCATATTTCACGTGACGGTCCAGGTGAAGCGGCTGGGCGCGCAGGTAAGCAGCACTGTGAGCGCGCTCTAACTTTATGATAGGCTCTGGGTCCTCAGCCCCAGCAGGCTCCGCCCACCCGCAGCTGGAATCAGCCAGACTCAGCTTGGCTGCAAGGAGCAGCACCCTGTTTCCAACCAGCGAACAAAGGAAGGAAATCGTTTCAATCAAGTCATAAAGAAGCCATCTGAGTGTTTTCACCTAAACTTAATAACTGATGGTTTAATTTATGCTTTTTTAATTATCAGTCAGGACAGTGCGCCATTGCTGATAAATCCACCTAAGTGGGCAACCAGAGAGGTTTAATCTTTTTAGCTGTTCCCTCAAGAGCCACACTTTTAAATCATAGCAAATATGAGCAGAAAACATATGTTTTAACCAGAGGGGCCCCAGAGCAGAGGCCCACACAACAGAGGCGTAGCCAGAACTTTTTATAAGGGTGGCCAGGCAATAAGGGTCAGTCTACACTGTTCCAACAGGAAAATTAACGAGCAAAACATCCATATTTTCTAAATAAAGACTAACTATACTTTCCTACAGCCTTTGCTAAAAAATACACAAATATATTTAAACATCCATAATTTCTAGATAAAAGGTATAGTGGATAAAAGGTCTAGTGGATAAAACTCAGTTTTGAGTTCTGGGGCATACATCTTTTCCAATCTTACCTACTTCTATCAAACATTTTGTTCAGTTTTTGTTAAAAATTGTTATTTACCCTTGATTTCACTGAAGACTCCTAGATGACACATAATTTATGTCATACAAAATCCAGTTCTGAACAGAGCATGATATCTGCACTTATCATCTTTGATGCTAGTATATTGATGTTTATAACTAACCATAAAAAAATAAAATGTTTTGAATATTCCACTTGAGAGTATTACTGCTGCCACCATCTGTATTGGGGGGCGGGGGGGTGGGATGGGGGATGATAGGGGTGGCCAGTGATTGGCTATGGATCATGGCCACCCCTGGCCCCCCATCTACCTGTGCCCCTGCCACACAGTGCAAAACTGGATGTTTGAATTTCAGAGGCAACTTATTTTACTCTGGAGTAGTTACAACTATTGTGAGGGTAAATCTGCTGAGGTTTTGGAGTTAATAGTGAGCGAAAAAATTGACAATAGTAGAGTAGAGTAAGTTTTACTCTATATGGTGTAAATTACCTGCCAGTCTCTGAGAAGTCTGCTTGATTTCTACACTTAAGTGAGTGAAATTAACTCTGAAAAGTTGACACTGGTGCAGAGTAAATTTTACACTAATTAGGAGTGGGAGAAAATGTTATTGCAAACATTTATATTCAACTCTTTAGGTGTTAAAGTCACAGTTGTTTTTTAACTGTGCAGTTATGTGGCCAAGGATGACAAATCTTTATAAATTAGCTCCGAGTGAATAATAAAGAAAGGGATTTATTATTTGGAACTTAAATATATTTTAAAGTAGTAGCCAAATTAAACAAATCTAAGTAAAAAAAAAAAAAGCTTTCAAATAAGCCAAATGTCCAGAGTTAGCTGGTTTATAAACTGCTGTCTGTATTTGCGCTGGAGTCACTTTTCATATGTGCTTTGACATGTAATTAATCAATCAATAAATGACGGGGGATGAGGGGTGTATACGTCATAAGCCTGGTTTTTACCTGACACACTGAACTGTCAATTTTGGTGGGCAAGGGAGCGAGCAACATCGTGACTCCAGCACACTGTCTTCACCTGGTCATTCCCCTCAGAATTTATTGTAACTTGGGATGGACCTTGTGCGCAGTGCTCCATTCAGAATGAATGAGATGCAGACCTTTCACACACCAATAGATCAATACTCTAAGAACAGAAGGAAGAGAGTCAGAAAAAATAAAAGCAACAAACAGAGAATAGTTAAGTTACATTAAAAAGCGCACATTAGATAGGATCCAAAATCTTGCAGTGCAGTATCCTTTACAAAAAGATCAAAAGGTGGTTTCCTCTTAGCCTGAGTCGGAATCTTTGCAGGAAACAGAATTAAATTGATAAGAAATAACATTTTCAATGGGGAACACAGCGATTTTTGATGTTTGTGAAGAATACCTTTCCACTGGTTATGCTGCCTCATGCCTCATGCTTTTACAGAGAATATTGGACCAGTTTTAACATTGATTATAATCGCCTGCAGTCCTTGTTCATGCTTACTTGTGTCCGACCTGAGAGGCAACTCAAAATACAGTACTTTTACAGTACATCAATACAAAGTGAATTGTAACTCATGATCAGATAACTAAAGCATTATAAAAGTGAACTCAAGTAACATATAAATAAAAGTTTAGTTAATAAGATTATCTTGTTGTCTTCTAGGTTTAGTTTTCTGTTGACAAGAAGTAAAGTGCATTTTACTAGATAATAACACATTTATTTATTGCTGTCAGTGAAATGAATATGAGTTACCTGGCAATAACTGTTTGAAATCTAATAAGTCTGACTTTACCTTGTATGTCTAAAATTTTAAAGAAGAGCAGTTACAAATATTCTCCATAAAGTTTTTCTTGTTGCCTGGTATAACATGCAATGTTATTACCATGTCCTTATATGGTCATTGATGTACTGTAAAGTAAAGCGTTTCCAAATTAACATTGTCTTTTAAAATTTGATCATTTGATCTCTTCTTTTGAAAATGTTTATTGCATTAAATTAGGCAAGCAAAAAGTAGCATACTTTCAAACCTCCCTGATGTATTTCACATGATCTGCAAAAAAAGTCAGCTTTTAGTGTAAGAACATCTCAGCAGAAAAGTTGCTTTTCTCCAATGCCTTTCAGAGAGGTTCTTTTAGGAATTTCAGATTTGTTCCACAACAAGATAGTGTCCAAAAATCTTTAAAGTATGATGATTACATGTGTTAAGCCCCAAAAGGAGCTCCTATTACTTTGAATAGGAACATCATATTGAACATCAAAGTTCAATATGAGTCATTAAATATGAAAGCAGCTCAAGATATGAGATTTTATAATCAATAAAATATTGTTGTAATGTATGGCCTCTCCATGATCTAAATGTGAAGAAATATACTCCTATTTTTTTTATTTATTTTCTAACATGACATATCTCTTAGTATCCAATCTACAATATGATTGGTGTATCATAGCCCTGAGGAATCTGAGTTTTATTTGTAAAACTGGCAAAAATGTAATATACTGGCATCTCCTGTTCACACACAATGTGGGTTTTTAATAAGAGAAGCAACTGTTTTAAGGTGGTTGCCAAAGAGAATTTGTAGCACCATGTATGCATGGAATAAATATATAAAGATGGTAAGAATATAAAGATGCCAAAATCCCTTTTGCTTAAATTATTTAACACTTTCTTGAAAATTCTGTAATTGTTTTTTAATTGTGTGGTTTAGATTTTACATGTGACCATTCTTTTTTTCAAATTAAATTCAAATTTGATTTTAATGTTAAAGGCAGACAGGAAAAGTTAAACAGATTCAAATCGGGACGTTTTAATGGTCAAATTTTTTATCTAGCAATGATTAACCTTACACAGGATCTTCCTTCTTTGTAACCTGCTTGCGCCCCATCTGTATTATGTTTATGATAATAAAGACACTAAATTGTTTTTAAATATTCCTTGAGAAAAAAAAATTAGTAGTAAGATAACTTGCAAAATTGATGATTACCGTAATGTTTTTGTTTGCATGCTATATATTGTACAGTTTCCGTAAAAAAAAAAAAAAAAAAAATCTTCAAAGTGAGGAACCATAAGATATCCTATAAGCATATCAATCCAATTGATACAATGAAGCAAGAATACCAAATATATTTTCAACAAAGCGAAAGCCAGAAATGATCTAACCCTGCAGCAGAAACAAAGCTGAAACAGAAAATAAGCAACTTAATCTGACCTGAAGTAAAGCAACCTTTACCAGTTTTATTGTGGCTGTTCTGGGATGAGAACCTTATTTAAAGGTGGTTTTTAAAACATATATCCTTATTCCCACTAATTAGCATCTGTTTAGAAGTGACATCTTTATGTTTCTGTTACTTTCACTTTATTAAATGTACATTAGTGTGATTAAATAGATAAGAATTGTTTCTGTTGGTCACAAGCTACTAAAGAAATATCTGGAAATGTTCTTGTGTCTTTAATTTGTGTCAGAAACTCTTCAATTAGAGCGAAAAGTTATATTTTAGACTAAATTTTGACAAATAATGAGACTGACTAATTTATGTGCATCTATATAATTTTTTTTTATCAGTCTTACTATGTATATGCAGCAAGTCATAACATTAATTTCCAAACCTTTAAGTTAGACAAGCAAACAGTCAGTTCAAGACTGGTCGTTTCTAGATCTGAAATCCAGCCTCAGTGAACTACAGTATAATAAACAACATTTAATCATTTTCACTCCTGTCTGCTTTATTTTTATTTTTTCAACTTTTTATTTTGTCAAATCACCAATGTAACAGTTCATATTCTCACAGTGTTAATTTGTTTTTATTTATTTCTACCTCCAGTGGAAGCTGTTTTGGGTTGAGAAACATTATGTCAAGAGACTTGTCTTGGTTTGTTAAAGAAAAAACATTTTTATTTTATTTTATAACTTATTTGGTCAAAAAGTATCTTGTTAACCCAACAGAATAAATTGCATATCAAACACCCTCTTTTTCCTGTTTCGAAATATTTAGATGGCTGTTAAAAGTACATGCCTCAGTTTTAGAGCTCTATTATCATAATTAAAAGCTCAATTTGTGAAACTGATACTTTATTCCTGTCTGACCAACCTTCCAGCCCTAACCATGATTCATAAATTAAACATGGGGGCTTAGATTAACACTACTGGCCCATATGTGGTCAATTTAAAGCATGTTATAGTGATGGTGATGTTCAATGATCACAGTCCTGAAATATATTTACTTTAAACTGAATATAAAAAAAAAAAAAAACCCTCTAAGATTTGAAAAAAAGAAGGTCCTCTACTGGCAGTGAATTATTTTATATTTTTCACTCAATGTCTTCTTGCTGTCTATATTGTATGCAACACTAAATCTCAAAAAGGAA